CTTTTAAGCACTGCCTCCATGTGACTGATACTCACATCACATGGCTATCGTTGCTTAGGTGTTTCCTGTAGTCCGCCTTCTTTCTTGCTGTTTGCTCAAACTCTCTAACTAGTTTCAGGCAATCCTGGCCAAAAACTCTCTTTTGCCTGAAACTCTCAGACTGAAGAAGTCTCTTGGAGGAGAGACGAAACGTTTCATTAGAGAAGAACCCGTCCAGAAGACCTATACAATTTTTTTTTCTTTTTACTTGGTGCATTTAGTTCTAAAAATAGTTTTTGCATTATCGAGTAGGTGTAATGTTTGATTTCCTCACTCGTTTGAATTGATGGCAATTTGACATGCTCAACACCATGTGATGTAATATTAGACACTAAAGAAATACGTTGAAGCTGTGTTTTTACTCATCTAAAATCCTGACATCCTAACTTGTGTTTTTTGTGTCAGTATTTTGTCTTGTCAAGATGTTGGATAGCGAGTCCATACAGAAAATGCTGAGGTCCGTCCTCATGTCAAGCAAGACTGGTGTATCTATTAACAACATCCAGTGTGAGTACCGCTCCTTTTGCGGAGACATGATTCCACTGAGGAAGCTGGGCTTCTCAACTCTGGAGGACTACCTCAGGAGCATCCCCTCTGTAGTGAGGCTGGAGTACCGCATGGGTGAGGTGAGAACTGGCTTTGATTCTCATGCAGCTCTTTCATGGAATTGGAGTCATAAATATGATCTTGTATAACAATTTTTTTCTGCCTTAGTTTGACTTTCATCATCCAAAAACTGAGAAACCGAAACAGTTTTCGTCCTTTAGAGAACTTTGTCAATGTTTTAGCAGTGTTCCTACATTTACAATGCATTGCTTGTGTTTAGAGTGAAATTAAAACATCTGTTTTGTAGCTACGATGCTTTGCCTCAGTGAGCGAGGAAACGGCGCACATTGCTGAGCTGGTGGCCAAACAGAAGAACTCCAAGAAATCTGGTCGCTCTCAAGTTGTCAACTGCAAGATGAGATTCAAACCTTCCAATCCCTACATGCTTAATGGTATGATGTGAGACACTTGTTCATGATTTTTTTTTGTGTGTGTGTTTGTCACAAGTAATTAAAGACCCTGTCAATCTATAAGGTTTTACACAACTTAAAGCAGACTTAGGGAGATGTTTGTTAAAATTATAGGTTCAGTTCATTAGCATTACAGTATGTTTACATCCAGAAGATGTTTCCATGTTTTGTCTTTTTAATTCAGCCTTTAGTGTTGGACACATTTTTCACCACTTGTCTAAAATGTTTTCATGTGGCTGGACCTAAACAAAAGAAAAACCTAATTTTTACATTTTCAATGCTCCCGTTTTTCATCTGATTTTCTAACTGTGTTAGTTTTACTTTATTTTTCTAATAAATATATAATTTTAATGGGCATAACTCTTCTAGTCAATTTTACTTATTTTTATTTTATTTTTTTCAGATTAAAGACCTTGTTTCAATTTAAAGGTCCTGTAATGAGTAGGGCTGTGTATTGGCAAGAATTTGGCGATACGATACGTATCATGACAGAGGGATCACGATACGATATATCCCGATATATTGCGATACTGTAAGCAAGGCGATATATTGCAATTTCTTTTGTCCAAAAATTCTATTAAATAAAAACCTCTTACTGGGGGGAAAAAATAAAAAAACAAAATTCATTGTCTCAGAAAATTCTAATATTACATAGACAAACTTTTGATACATTTAGCTGTGTTCTGCTTTGTTTGT